ATATATTCATCTTGATTGACATTTGTCTACTATATATATATATATATATTCATCTCGATTGACATTTGTCTACTATATATATGTATATATATATAGTAGACACGGACTTGGTGTAAATAGGCGGCGGTGGGGTACACTTGGAAAAACACGCGGTTCCCGGGGATGGTGTCGATCACGGTGTTGTCGTTCAAGACGTCCACTACCTATATATATCCGAATTTCAAAGGGCAATCTCGGACATGATATATATATATATATATCAGAAGCGTTCGTACGCTATAGTTTTCCGACGAAATGTCTCGAATGGTCATATCCTGCAGCGATATCTTGGCAGGAACTCGGAACCCTCGTTGATCACCCAGTGCCATCAACTGCCCCGCACTCGCCATCTCGACCACGATCTCGTCCACGTGACGGGTAAACATGACTCTAGAGAATCCCACAGAAAACCAAACTCAAACGCGATTCACTTTTAAAAATATATAATAATCATACATGAAAATATTTTTATTATTATTTGACAAATTATTATTTTATTTTTATTATATATTAATTTTATTCAAGAATTTTTATTAAGGTGCGTGTATAACAGTATACTAACTACTATATAAAAACATACACTTGTACCAAAACCCAACCCAGCTAGCTACAAGACATGAACTGTGGAGTAATATGTGACATCGTTCGGCTTTGAATCCCATAAAGGGTCGTCCTGAATCTATCCTCCACTTGCAATCTCCCATATATATCGAGACTGTATGTACCTGTCAATATCGAGGGTACCACTGCGAGGCGACAGCAGGTCCATCTCCAACGATGCGCACTGGAGATGCTGCTTGACAACGAACAAGTTGGTCGGGTCCAGCACGACTGGTTCTGGCGGTTTGGCAAACATCGCCGACCCCAATGCAGTGTTGTACGCGTCCAACGGCGAGTCAAAGCATACGATCACCGCCATCGAGTCCTACTTGATAGTGTCAACTAGTACTACTACAACATACTAGCAACGAGCGCATACGTGGCCACTGCGGCCGGCGCGCCCGGCCTGCTGCCACATGGACGCTATCGACGGGGGGTACCCGAGATGCAGCGTACATTCCAACGACCCAATGTCAATACCCAATTCCAACGCGTTGGTCGCAACCACGCCTAGTAACTCGTGGCGAAACAGCTGCGCTTCAATCACCCGGCGGCTTTCGACAGAGTACCCGCCGCGGTACCCCTTGACCCGCGGAATCAAATGGCTTTGGTTTTGACGACGCAGGATGTTGTGCGTGTACTCGACCACCAACTCGGTCAGCTTGCGGCCCTACATGTATGTATATATATATAAAGAGTTGTGTCGAGTAGTGGCCAGTGCAGTTTGGTCTTGAAAGTGCAGTGTGATGTTGCATACATACCCTGCAAAACGCAATTGTGGGCACTTTGGCGGCGACGAGCGTGGCGAGGATCTGCGCGCTCTGGAAGATCGTGCTGCCCGTGAGGTCGGGGTTGTGGGGTTCGTTCGGGTCGAACGATGTCACAGGGGGTGGCGTCGGGCGCCACACGACAAAGTGTTTGGTGCCGCAAGGGCTTCCGTCCTTGTCTTGTTCAATCACAGTGACCTCTGGACTAGCGTTGGTGTTGGGGGTAGGGTCATCGTCGGGAGTCCTAGCAGCAGGTTGCAACGACTGGTGAGGCACGAGCCAGCTAAAATGCTGGCGGGGGTTTTGAATAGACGCGGAACAGCACACGACTTGCGGTGAGCTGCCGTAGACATAGCATAGTCGAAAGAGCCGCCGGAGGATATTTGCGACGTGGGACCCAAAGATACCTCGGTACATGTGGGCTTCGTCAATCACGACAAGCCTACAGCGCCGCCATGTGGTTCAAGTACTCTTGAGAAGGAGAAATCGATGATGACGGCAGCAGTTCGTACGTACTTGAGCCGGGACAGCACTGTTTTCCATGCTTTATGCTGGGGCAGGATAGATACATGCAGCATGTCTGGGTTTGTAAAGAAGACTCGCGCGGACTTCCGTAGTCCGGCGCGCGCCGCCATCGGTGTATCTCCGTCCTAGTTGTAAAAAACCCCATTATGTTATTAATTACTAGCTAGTACTAGTAGTATGTACTATAGGGCAGTAGTACAAGCAAGCGTCTTTTCGACCACATTGCCTTTTATTATATATATATATCAGGATAGTCAACGCGTACATAAGTAGCACAAAGAGACGCGTCCAAACCATCGCAGCGGGTAAGGAACGTCCGAAACGACTGCACTTGGTCTTGTGCTAGCGCCTAATTGATGCAACTTGGCGTTAAAAAACATCAAACATATCGTAAATATATATATATATATATATTGCAACACGACACAAGAAATGCTGATTGAAATAATGTACACACCTTGGTAGGAAAGAGGTAGAACGCCGTGGAATTCGAAGTTGACAAGGCGTGGGCGACAGGCACGTTGTACACGATGGATTTGCCGCTCGATGTGGACGTGGAGATGACCACGTGGTGGCCTTCCAAGATCGCTTGGATGGCTTCTGATTGGTGTGAATAGATCTTTTCGAAGAGGACGCCGCGGCACACGGTGTCGCACACGCCCAGGTCTTGGAGCTGTCGGTCTCCAAACCGAGCAGCGCGTGACGGAATCGTTTCAATGTGCACCACCTGTCCGTCGTAGTAGCTGGCTTGCATGAGAGTGTTCAAGTACGGAATAGGAGAGGACGCTGAAGGCTGCGACGAGGTCGATTTCAACCGCTTGAGTGGCTCGAACTTGGGCACGTTGGCCAAGTCAATGGTGGTCGTCTGGAGGGCGTGCTGAAATAGAAGCATCCGCTTTGTGCTGGCTCGCTTACTCGGGTGCGGGGCGTCAGGGAACTGCACCAACTCGATGGTCTCGTGTGGGTCGACAGCTGCCGGGTTGAAGTCGTCTACAGTATTCACGAGCATTGGTTCTTGTGGTGAGCTACGTGTTCCTAAGGATCATCCATGAGGCGACCATACCTTGCACAATGACCTTGTCTCGTGCTTGAATGTCCAATTTCACCACCCCGATGGAGACCATTTGCCGAACATGGGACACCTCGAGACTCGATGGGTTGCCGGACAAATGCGCCGCGAGACTGACGATGGTCTTCAGCGACGGGATGGCTTTCTTGCCCACGAGGAAACAGTAGCAGCTATCCAAGAGCTGGAAGCGTTGGATCCAAGGAGCAGAGGCCTCCGCGCTAGCTGTTGGCAACGCGTCCGTCGGACTGGCAGCGGGCTTTTTCCGCTTGGACATGATTCGAACTTGCAGCGCCAAAACCCGAAAACCTTTATTAATTCATACGACACAGCAATACCTTTGTAAACCAATTCGAAGTTTGGTACTTGGACGAAGTTCGAAGGTACAGAATTGCCGTTGTGTCGTTTCAGACTTGACCAAATTGTGACGGTTGTGCGAATTGCTGGCATGGAGGTAGCGCGCACGACAATTCCGGGGCTGAGCTTCCCGACGGACCTCCTCTTCAACCTAGACGCTGTGCGGAAGCATTGCACCGCCGATCTTGCCACACACAATGCATGCTTGAGCATGTTGAAAGGTCGCATGCAGCTCGAACACTACTACGCGACGGAATTAGCGCGTCTAGCCGACCAGTTCAAGATTGACGACGAGGATGACAGCAACGACCCTGTCGGCGCGGAACTTGGTGCAATAGATGGCAAGCGCGGTGCAGACGACGATGACGGCGACGGCGGAAACGACAGAACTTCGCGATCGAGCACCCTCAAAGAAGCGTTGCGGGGCTTGAGGGCGCAGTACACAAACACAAGCGTGCAGCACAAAGCCCTGGCGGCGAATCTGGACGAAGACGTGTATCAGCCCATGCATACGTTGTACAAGTACTTGGTCAAGAAGGAATCCAAGTTGACGGTGTGCACGACGCGGGTGCGCAAGCAAACGAAGGCCTTCGAAGAACACTACCGCAAACAACATATCAAGTTCGACAAACACTTCAAAGACGCGTCGACTACATATGCCCAGGCCATGGACGTCGGCATCGCCCGGGAAATCATCCACAACCAATACCTGGCCTCGCCAGTGCACCTCCGCCCACATGAAAAGCACCATCCTGACAAGCGAACCACTCCGCCACCTACCCATTCTCTGGACCCAGCAGCTACAAGTGATGCCGTTAGCAGTCCCCAGCACTCACCCGAATTGATCACTACGATCGGCACTCCTGCTAAACCACCCCCTCCTTCTTCCCCCCACATTACCGTGTCGGATGGTACCGGCAACACATCTCGGCCTCGGAGCACCTCGATGAGTCGGTCTACGCTAGACGGTACCAAGCTCGTGAGCTGGCTATTGCCCAGTGGTCAGCAAAAGAAAGACAACTTGCTCATCACATCCGTGAAAGCCATCGAGGTACACCTACCTATTTGGATGATGTTGATCACTGACCATCGTTCTAGACGGCCGAAACGTCGCGCCACGAGTGCCGCGTGGCGTGGAATGGGTTTGAAGACGCACGGGTTGCACTATTCCGGTCCATCCAGTCCATCTTAAACGATTACCAAGTACGTTGGATCCATTGAGTACTTGGACGTTCATTGAGTACTACTTAATCATGGTTGCTATGTAGCATATGGCCGAATACAGCATTTCGAATCTCACGGCAAGTCTGCGCAAACATGTCATCTTTGAATCGTCTGCCCTCGCCAACTCGCAGGTAATACACTCGTTTACTAGTTTCACTGCCCCTTGTGGTCGTCGTGAAGGTATTTGCTTTGAACATCCCTGGTATATCTACATGTGTAGTACGATTGGCAGATGCTGGCAACCGTCATGGAAGCCGTGGACGCCGAGCGAGACATTCGGGCCTTCATCGTAGCCAACCAGCGCATGGTGGTACCGTCCATGACAGTCAACGACTTGTGTCGTGCCGACAACTTGCCGCTTCCTCCGTCCTCCGCGCCGTTGGCGTTGGCCGACATCACGACGCGCAAGTGTCCTGTGGATGTCACGGGGAACACGCACACGGTGTATGGCTGGCTCACCACTCGATCGCAGTCTTGTCAAGCGAAGGGCAATTTGCCCTTGGTCGTGTCCACTGTCACAGCCAAGGCGCTGCTGGCGGCGCTAGAGGCGGACCAGCCAACTAGAGGTGATGACAAGCAACCTGAATCGACTGGCGAGCGAGGGGACGTGTACGAGGCAACCAAGGCGCTAGTGGATATGGGGGGGCCCCAGTCAAACGACGACAACGGATGCTGCGAAGATCAGTGCTAAGACTATATATTTAAGCAAGTTTATGACCGGTACAATACTGCTGAGCTGCTGACATTCGTGGTGTTCTGACTACCACGCGATCATAGCAAAACTAGTCCATTTCGCCGTTACATGTGAAGCATGATCCCCCAAAATGTGCAAATTTGGGTGAATACAGTATGTATAACCTACCATTTACACAGCAGGCGACCCTTCATACTTTGTCACACTAAGCACCTCGACCACTGACACCCCAACGTAGCATGTAAACCATTGAAATCCGTTTCGATTAATCAAGCGGGGGGGTCGGGAGGACAAACGCATGGAGCTCGTCGAGGAATTGGGGCAAATATCGCGTGTCGTGGGAGAAGAAATGATCGGCGCCGTCGTACACGATCAACTTTGAGGCGGGGGCGGAGGCAGCGGCGAGCCAGACTGCGTCCGAGTCGCGGTGATCCTTGGAGCCGTTGATAAACAGCACTGGACCACGGTACTTCTTGAGGGCTTCCGCTGGATTCGTGGCTTTGAGAATGGCAATCTGGGCCTTGGACTGGTGAAAGAAGAACCCGCATTTCTTGATGTCGTTCTCAATCATGTCACGATCCAAGTGGCCGTTGGCTTGCACTTGGTCGTGCATGAGTTTGAGCAGTGTGGCCGCGCTGAAAGTCGAAGACACCCAATCCAGCACAATCAGCCCCAGCCCAGCCGCCCACCCACGGTTCACGCCGACGTTTTGACCGCACATGAGGATCACGGCCTTGGAGAACATTGTTGGGTGCTGCCCCAATAACTCCATGCCAATGTAGCCACCGAGGGATCCACCGACATACACTGGCGCGACGTCACCCCGCCACGTGCCGGCTAGCGCCGCGCCTTCCAAGATCACCGCGATGGCAGAATCCAGCGTCAGCAGCTCGTCCATGCGACTGCCGTGGCCAGGCAAGTCCACCAACACGCAGCGCACGTTGACCGCCGCGAGTGACTTCGCGTGCGGAATGAACATGCTGCGACACCCGCCGCCCCCGTGCACAAGCACCACCGCGGGTCCGGCGCTCTCTTGGATGGACGGACCAAACACCTCGACGTGTTGGGTCATGTCCAGCGCCCATTTAAAAGTAAAGCATGCCTTGCACATGGACGAGATCGTAGTCGGGTCCGTGTACAGGGCAAAATCGAGACATGTCGCGCAGCACACGCGGGAGCAGAGTGCGCAGGCGGTGCCACGATTGAACCAAGCACCCAGGTGCTTTTGGCAGTCGGGGCACACGGAAGGCGCAGGAGTTGACATGCCGCGTTGGATATGAAAATGGCAAATCCGTAGTTTTGTCGAACCTGTATTAGGAGAGTGGTATTGAGAGTGTATGTGAGTGCGGAGTGTGTGTGAACTCAACATGCATTCCTTCAAATTCTAAGCTTGCATTCACTATAGTATACAGTGTTTAGAATATATCTAGCTTTGCCCATTTCGAAGATCACCGTGTCGTTTATGTGGCATCCCAGCGAAATGCGAATTATTGCCAGCTATGTATATCGTCGTGGAAAAGGTCATGTATATATATATATATATTATATATATATATATATATATATACGACGGTCAACTATTTATTGGATCTCGCTGCTGTACGAGTTCCACCAAATGAGCAGCAATTGCAACACCGCCATCCTATGTCCGAGCGAATACACAATAATATCAACATCCCCTCCGAACAACCAAAAATCAAAGCGAGAGACGTACGCCAGCAGCATGTAGTTTCGAAAGCGGCGCTGGTCGTGGTTGGGTTCTGGCACCGTGCCCTTGAGCCCATTCAACTATATCCATATGAGTCAGTACTACACCTCATACACAACATATTAGCTTTTACCGTGAAGAAGGATGTGGCAATGCCAGTGTACGCCAACACCACGTAGTACGGAATGTAGCCCAAGATCAAGTGCACCACCGTGTTGATCACAAGTGCCACGTATTTGTAGCCCGTGAACGACACCAAGTCCAACCAGTTAATTTGGCTGTTGAGCAGATACAACCCAAGCTTCATGAGGCAGATTTCCACCAGTTGCATCAAGCAGCAGTACGTCGACACTTCGGTAATCACATCCGGGTTGAACCTATCAAAGTTCCATATATATATATATAAACTCTACATAACACGAGCAAATATCTATCGAGTATTATGTTACCGTCCAGACGCGCCCTTGATGTACCCCACAATCAAAATGTACGTGACAAAACTCATCAACGGGATGTACAAATCCGGCGCGTTCTTGTCCATCGACGGCGGCGCGTACACGACCTACACACATTCTTTTAATAACCATCACTCTGAAATGAATGGACGTACGTCGACGCCGGTGTTGTTGCCTTCGTTTTGCACGATGCGCCGCCAATCTTTGTGGATGAATGGACACAACAGCATCTACACATCTATTCTCACACACAAGTGTCTTGACGAAGGTCGAAGTGTACCTTGAGCCGGTGCACGACATACGTGTTGTTGACTGTAAAGTAATACTTGACCGATCCAAACATGTTCAACGCCCCAGCCGCCGCGCCTACAAGGGGAAAAAACGATGTGGTGACGGCAATGATGAAGGGAAGAGAGTGTACCAGGCATGAACGACTTGACTTGGTCTTCCATCATCTTGGCGCCGTGATTCATTGCGTACGCTGCCATCGGATTGCTACAAGGCACGTGATGAGCAAACTGGGTGGGGTGGACTCGTGTACTTCAAGAGCTCGGGGTTCACGGCTTGGCCCATCTCGCCAAAGAAACCACCCATGCTGTTGTTGCTTGATGGGTGATTGCTTGCACCCATCATGCCGTCGGGGTAGGTAGGATGGGAAGGAGATGCTCCACCATACTGCGGTTGCGGCTGCACCGGTGCAAGCGGTTGGCCGCTTTGGTGATATGCCTGTATGGTCGTCCACTCAGTCGTCGAGAACATGAATGTATGATGCAATATGAGCAATACCGGCTGATCACCGTACGCAGGAGCTCCTCCCACTGGCGGACCAGAAGAGTAGAAGCCATCGGCGGCCGC